TAATTGGCCCTGATTATCGTGAGCTGCTGGAGCTGCTGCCACTTAGCAGGAGCAGAAGGGAGCAAGTCTGGAATTCACAGGGGTCACTGGAGCCCCTGCCGGTGCCTCCAAGCCCAGGGACCACAATGAAGTACCTACAGTGACCCCAGCTTGAGAAGAGCTCAGAACAGGGGCTCGGACCCCCAGAGACGAGTGTGTGGATCACCACCCTGGGCAACCTCTAGAGTAAAGGGAACCCAGAAATGGGATGGACACCAAGGAAATCTCAGAAGCCATGGCAGCAGTGGGGGCTGCCGCTTGTCCCTCACCCTCCCACTGAAGATTTTTTCCCCTTTGCAATAATTGTAACGGCTACCGCCATGAAGCTTCAGGGGCAGGGACATGGGGCTGAGTGTATTTGAGGGGTGTATGGTATGGAGGGAGGCAGTAATGTCAGCGCCCCACTGGACCCCTAGACTTGTCTTTCCTGCACACAGGCAGCTCCCCACCACGAGCCCCGTGACTCCTTACTTGGTGAGCTCATAGGAGCACGCTCAGACCAGCACAGGGCGGACCAGAATTGCAGGCTAGTCACGTCTCTGGGTTCCCCTCAGCCAAACTGATGAGTAGGACAATCTGGGTGTGCTCTGTGTGGGCCTGACTCTAAGGAACCCCACCTAAGACACCCACATTCTGTTTTCTCTTTATAGTGACTGTACAAAACTGGGTCAAATGCCCGGGACCGGCAGTAATAAGCAATTCCATGTGCAGATGGAAGAATCTGGTGACTTAGGCTACTGCTTAGCTCAAGGGTGCCCTCTTCTGTCGGGACTGTGAAGTGCAGTTCCTTTACTAAATGGTGGCCATTCCACTTCCCAGCATGGCCAAGCAGCTCCCATCCGTCCACGCCTCCTCCAAGTAGCATTGTTAACTCTGCACAAAATATAAAAGCAGAGATCTGAAGGTAACCAAAGGCACACAGATGCTGTGGGTCAGTCAACACCAGGAGAAGGCAATGGCGCTGGGTAAGTTTCTCATTCTTGCTGCTTTTATCACGAAGGTGGGTCCGTGTCTCCACCACGAGGAGCAGACAGAGCTCTGGTAGAAACACCACGATCTTGCTGGCTTCAAGAACCAGAGGTCAGAGTCCAGGGTAATTACAGCTGCAGGAAAGTAAAAGAAGAAATCCTGGAAAGAAGAGAGCCAGAGAGGGAGAACCCCACGTGCTGTGCATAAACTCTCCCAATCCAGGCCCACCCCTCCAGTACGAGTGCACAGGGCAGACTCCAAGCAGCCCAGCTAAGGCTAGAAGAGCTGAACCGAGGTGTGAACTGAACTGCCACCATGCAGGGGAAGCAGAGCCTGCAGTTTGAGCTCATCAAGTTAAACTCCCGCTTAACAGAGTCAAGTCCATACTCTTCTGAGCAACGTCACAGAATCCAGCGTTTATGCAGCACATCATTCACAACATCCAGGATACAATCCAAAACTACTCGCCCTATGAGGAAACAGGAACATCTGACCCGTCCTCAGGAGAAAGGACTGACCCTGAGGGGCACAGATATGGGATTAGCTGACCAGGACTCTATAGAAGTTATGACAACAACACTCAGGATGTGGAGGAAAACACGCTGCTAATGAACGCCAAGATGGGAAATCTCAGCAAGAAATAGGAACAGCAAACCACAACCAAATGGAAATTCTAAAACTAAAAATTACAACATAGGACATAAAAATTTACTGAACGCAGCCTACAGAAAAATTGAGACGATTTGGTGAACTTGAGGATACGTGAATAGAAATAACGTAATCCTATGAATAAAGAGAAAAAATACTGAAAACAAAAAAAGCCTCGGGGCCTGTGGGACAATATCAAAGATTCCAACATATGTGTGAGGAGTCCCAGAAGGAGTGGAGAGCAATCGTGGGCAGAAGAATCATTTGAGGAAATAATGGATCGAAGTTTCCCAAATTTTATTAAAAATCTTAAATTACAGATACAAAATGCTTAGAAAACCCCAAGTAAGGTAAATTGAAAGACAATAGTACTAGGCACATCAAAGCCAAAGCACCAAAAGCCAAATTTAAAGAGAAAATTTGAAAACAACCAGAGAGAAAAGACGCACTGCATACAAGTGAGCATTGACATTTCGTCAGAAAGCGCGGAGCGGAAGACAGTGGGACAGCATCTTTAAACGGCTGAAAGACAATAACTGCCAGCCCAGAATTCCGTATCTGTTGAAAAGATCCTTTAAGAATAAAAGCCATATGAAAACATTCGAGTAAGAGAAAACAGGATGTGTGGACAACAGGCCTGCAGAACAGAACTGCTCACAGACGTTCTCCAGGGTGATGGCAATGGTATGCGATGGGGACTAGGACCGCAGGAAGCATCTGAGAGCATCCGAGGTGGTGAGCACGGGTGAGTTCAGACGCTGCTCCTCGTCACAGTTCCTTTATAACATGTAGGACTGGGTATGCAGGCGGTGGGGCGCTCTGTGTGGCGTTGATAACACACGTGGATATAATGCATAAATCGACCATCACATAAAGGAAGTGGGGGACAATGGACCCTCACGGCTACTCCTGAGCAGACTGTGAAAAATTAAAGATGGCATTGTCATGCCCAGAGCAACCACTTTACAGTGATGCAGAGGGAGAGCTGAGGGGCCAAGAGGTGGATTGAAGCGGAAACTGAGTGCACATTATCACCGGAGTGGGCGTGGCTCCTCTGATCTTTCATAAGGTCTTTGGCCTGAGCGCTTGTTTTCTTATTTCTTCACCCCCAGTCCCCCGAGGGACTTCCCCTCCCCACCAGAAGCAGTGCCTTCCTAGGCACTGCACTCCCTCTGTGGGGGAGCCGAGGTGGTGCCATCTGCCTTCTGCCATCACTGACACCCCATCCCTTTCCTCTCTGCACAGCCGCCCGACTTGCCCAGATGGGGTCTGGCGCTGGCCTGGGGTGTGGGACGATGGTCCCCTCGCAGCCCTTTCTAGCAGAGTAGCTTTCATGGGGTCGCTCTCATCCGTGTGGACTCTGGAAGCCGCGTGAAGACTTAAGTTCAGGCACCACCATTAGCTACGGAACCAGGAAGTCCTGCGTCCACCTTCGCTTTCTGTTGACAACAATTTTCCCGCGTGTCTGAAATGTCCATTCAGTCAGATAGCTTCACGGTCTATGAAATAACTGACGCGGCCTTTATCCTTGGAGCTGACCCCTCCCCCGACATCAGTTAAATGTTTACATTCTATTTGTGCGTCTGAACTTGCAGACTTTCACGCTGCACCGGCCTCGTGGGGTGTGATGTGAGGGAGACTCACCTGCCGGCTTTTCCCACATTTTTCCTGACTGTCAGGCTGCCCAGCACCCCGACCGTCCTCTCAGGGAACTCCCCTACCCTGTCTCTGGATCGCCCTGTCTGGGGACCACTCCCTCGGGTTGGGCCAGTGGGGAGGACGCGGGAGGAAGGGCTGGGGGTCTGGACAGCAGGTCTCCACAGCAACAGTGACCGAGGCCTGCTGGAGGAAGTCCTGTTCACGGCTCCTCGGGGCCCACACTTTGGGGTGGCAGGCTCTGCGGTGTATTGGAACACCACTCTGCTCCCCTCCTTCCCCCCTGCGGCCTTCCTCCCCCACAACCCGGGTGCCGTCCAGGCCTGGGCCAGGTCCAGCGTGTGGCGAGTCCCTCCTCCCGAAAGCCCAGCACCCAGCTGGGGGGTGTTGGAGAGGCTGTCTTGTGCCAAGGCCGGCTCTGGTCTGACCCCGACAGAGGAAGGTCCCGTGGAGGCGACACTGCTTGCTGCCGCTCCCTCTCCCCGCGAGCAAGCTGTGGGCAGGGCTCCCTAGGCCCAGAGCGTGGGCAGGAGCCCTGACAGGCCCTGGTCTGCCAGGCCAGGGTGGGTGGCTACTCTGGGTCCGAGGGCACAGGCTTGGGCCCGACCAGCAGGAACCTCGCGTACCTGTCATTCTCCATGTGAATTGACGTCCCTCCAAGCCGGAGCCTTGGTGACAGGCTGAGGTCAGCAGCACTGCCTCTGTCCTCACTGTGCCTGTCTGGGATGGCCAGTCCACAGGGAGCCCACGAGGCCAGCTCACCCCACCACATGGGCCATGCATGAGCTGCCCCTACGGCCTCAGCTCCTGGTCACCGTCCCCGTGCAGCCCCTGCGTGGCCTTGCCTGGCAGCCCTCCCGTGTTCAGAGCTGCGAGTGAGTAGCCAAGAGCTCTCCCTCTCATCTCCGAGTGTCACTGTGATGTGTCTCGCCATCAGAGAATCTTTAAATCTTATAAAACACCAGAATCCCCACAAAGTGTCTGAACAAGTTGACCAGTGGTGGGTCCCCCCCAGGGCTGGTAACTCGCCTTCCCAAACCTGCCCAGACACGGACATGGAAAGCCCCGAGCCAGAACCCGGAGGGAGGGCGGGAGCTCAGAAGAGCAGCCTGAGGACTGGGAGCTGGCCTCCTGGGCCTGAGGGCCAGCTCAAGCCCCCACCACACCCCTGCTCTGAGCTGCTCTCCGTCCCCCCTCCCTGCCCCCATGTCCAGCCTGCTGGGACACAGGACCAGGCTGAGGGGCCAGGGGACCCCGCAAACCCCCACCTTGGGCAGAGACTCCCTTTGTTCAAGCATCACAGGTTGTACTTGTGCAGTCCCACGGACCAGGTCCCTGCCCCCAACCACACGACCACCAGAACCTGGCCTTCCTGGACCTCAGACCTGCAGAAAGCCCCACAGGACTCTGGGGCAGAGGCGCAGCACCCACACCTCCACCAGGACCCTCATGCCCTTTGGACTGCGCTCCCCACCATGGAGAAACAGGACACTGGTGTGTCCTCCACCCTGCCCACCCTGGCTTGCCCACCCCTCCCCATCCCCAGGGGATCCCTCGGGGGACCACCCGAGGGACCCCACAGACAAGCAGAGGCACCAGGAACTGCTGAAGCTCTTTATGTGGAACCAGGAAGGGAGATGCAGGGCTGGGGGTGGGGGGTGGCAGGAGGGGGCGGAGTGGCCCAGGTTCAGGGTCAGGGGCTCTTTCCATGTCCTGCAGGACAGAGGGTTCTAGTAGTGCCACCCCGGGGCTGCTGTGGAGCCGTGGTGCCCCCTGTCCTGGAAAGGAGGGGGAGGCTCAGTGAGGCCAGGACAGGGGAGGGTGAGAGAGGCTGCAGCGTAGGAGGCAGGTGCTGGGTTCGTGGGGGCTCTGGCCATTGGATCTGAGGAGATAGAAGGGGGACCTTCCCACAGGCTGCCCACAAGGCTCCACGCTCTCGTGTGAAGGTGTGTCGGAGCGACTTCAGGCCAACGGGAGGGCAAAGGGGGAACAGTGATGCTGTTCTGGATTCTGGCTCTGCCAACCCTGGGCAGTGACCTTGGGGAAGTCACTGAAACTCCAGTTTCCAAAAGGACACGCAGCCAGTGAGGGACCCAGGACGTCTGAAGTGTCCCAGGCATGGGTGCCATATTTCTAAATCTTTTAAGCAACTCATTGGGTAAACAGAGTCATGATGACTATTCAGGGGTGAGGAGGAATCTCACCCCTGCTGGCAGGCATGCCAGGGGTATTGGGAGGTAGACCGTCTCACACCAGCACCCCAACCCATGGAGTGCCCACACAAGAAGAATTTCCTGACTGCGCAGGACTTACTCCGCAAAACCCAATCTTGAGGTGAGGCTCAGGTGCCCGGATGACTCCAGGAGCAGACACTCCACCTGCCTGGCCAGGTGGGGTCTCCCGCCCAGGTGGGAGCAGGGGTGGAGGATGGACCATATGGCCCCTTGAACTCCATTGACCCCAAGACTGATTTTCTCAAGTGGCCTCTACAGCTGTTCACTTACCCTAATCGCTTCCTGCAGAGCAGGTTTCTGTAGAAAAAAGGAAACACATATGATTCAGGAGACCCCAGGGAGTCAGTTGGGGTCAACACTTCATGTGACCCCAGAAAGGACAAAGCCAAAATCAGATGTAGAGTGTTCTCTAAAATGTCGCTCCGCTGACTGTCGCACCATGGGGACCCGGGCAGGACCAGGCAAAGGCGTCCTTCTTACCACTTTGCGTGAGGGTGAAGATCTTCAGGTTGAATCCTTGGTCTCTTGCGAACGTCTTAAAATCCTCCAAGGCCCCCTGGTTGTACTCTGGGTCTCTTCCTGTTGGTGAAACCAGGAGACGCGAAGGTGAGGGGCAGAACCGGGGGAAGGCGGGCGTCTCTATCCCAGCCTGGGGTACAGATGGATGGGATGCTGTAGAGCTCGGCGGAAGACCAGCACCCATGTGGAGGGCCCTCGGGCCGGGAGGAGAGCTCGGCTGGAAAGGCAGAACCGGGTGAGCATGTAGTGGGTGCCGAGCAGCAGGACTGGGAGGATGGGGGTGCTCTTCATGAACACACTGGGGGTCTACCTGGAGTAAGGACGAACTGCAGGACCTGCCCAGCCATGGAGGAGGGCATCTCCCCTCGGGGCCCCGGACCCCATGCCATCCCCACTGGACTGACGTCTACAATGGTCCTGGCCACGGGGACTGCATCTCCCCTCAGGGCCCTGGACCCCTTGCCGTCCCCGCAGGACTGACGTCCACACCACTCCTGGCCATGGGGAGCACGCAGGAGACCCTCGGGGGCTTCTTGTCTTCAGGCAGGGATGGTCCTGACCCCCTGATGCCTCTTGAGCCCCCTCGCCCAGAATTAAGCCCCGGGAGCTGGAATTTCCTTCCCTTGCAGGCTCCGTGCACACACTGCTCTTCTCCCCCGTGGGAGACCCCAAAGAAACAGGGCTGAGGGTGACGCTGCAAGGAGCTGCCCCCGTGAACAGCGTGACCTGCCTGGTGACGTCTGTGACATTTGGATCCCTGTGCTCACAGCGGTCCTCTGCCCTTTCTGTGTTCCCACTGCCGACACCTAGACTGGGAAACCCGAGTCCTGAACTCCGGGGATGGGACCGAGTGCTTCCTTCAGGAAAACCAGTCGGAAGGAGCTGCCAGGGGCTTCTCCTAAGAGGAGGAGGAACGGGGAGCAGGGAGGAGGGGAGAGGGTCTCAGGTGCTGGGATGGGGGACCCTCACCCACGAGCTTCGCCATTCGGATCTGCTTCCCCTGGAGCTCGCCTTCACAGGAGAGAATGTAGTGGTCCTTCACGTGCGACAGCAGGATGTACACTACGTGCTTGCCCTCCTCTGGGGAAGGACAGCGCACGAGTCCTGAATAAGTCACATGATCCTCCAGAAAGATCCAGAGCTTGCCTAGTACCCAGCCTGGCAGACCCTCCAGCTTCCATGCGCTCCCAGCCGCCCAGGCCATGGGGTCTCCACCTCTCGAGGACCCAATGCACCAGGAGAGTGCCATACCAGAAAGGGGGTCACATCCCCCACCAACGAGTCATAGAGAAGTTTCAGGGTAAGGGGTTGGAGGAGGTTGGGGCATGGGGTCCTCAGCCCCCAACAACCCAATACAACTCTGCTCCTCTCCCTGACATGGGCACAGCCATAACCCCGCAGGAGCCCCTGGGCAGTCCCATCCCTCCTGGGATCAAGGTTGTCCCACCCGGCACTAAGGTTGTCCCACCTGACACTGAGTGTCAAGTGTTCATGTCTTTAAGGCAAATTGACTGGTGGGAGGAGAGGGTGGGCATTTAATGGGGTCAGAAAGGAGTGGAGCTTCTCCGGCTACAAGGCTGCCCCAGAAATTCGCAGGCTGCCGCCTGCTCTCCGGGTGTGCGGGGGCACCGCCCAGTCGAGGCTCCAGGACTCACAGGCCGTGTATTGGTTTTCTCCAGGACCAGTTTCATCTCCCGGCACTGACCACTCACCCTGGAACACAGAAGCCACATGGTGATGCTGCCCTGGGGTGTGTCCACTTCGGAACACAGCCAAGCCCCCCGCCGCTCCCCCGCCTCGGAGCCACCACAGGGCAATGCCCAGTAAAGGTGGCCTGGGGTCCGAGGCGGGCCTGGCAGAGGAGTGCGCTTCTCTCTCCTCAAGTCCAGGCACCAGGTGCACCTTCAGTGTCACACGTGGCGGCTTCCTGGGGCTCCCTCAGGGAGGAGGTGGGGGTGCAGCACCCACCAGCAGCCAGCACTGCCCCTCACAGTCCATGAGGCCCATCCGTGGCCCCTCCCCGCCTCAGTGCCCTAAGTTTGGGGGTGTCTTCCCTGCCCGGTGCCCCCCAGTGAGGCACTCTCCATGGCAGTGACCCCCCCCAAAGCTGCCTAGTGCTGAGTGTTGCAGGAGGGGCTGAGAAGGACACTTGGCGTGGTCTGCCCCCTGCAGACGCTGGCTCTCCTGGCGTGGGGAGGGAAGGCCGAGAGACGGCCCAGGCCACCCAGCTGGCCGACACTCACAGTATGCTCGTTTTGACTTCCAGGTTGCCCCCCTCCAGGGCCGTAAGGGTCATGGGGGTCACCAACTCCAGCTTCTTTGCAGGAATCTCCTGGTCTGTGGTCACAGCCTTCAGATACCATTTCCCTGACACCTGGTGAAAGTTCCCTCCCATCAGGCCTCAGGCCGACCCCCCACTGCCTCCCCATCCTGCTCTGTAGCCCCAGACTCTACCCCGCCCCCAGGTCTGGAGGTGCGGAGCCCTTCCCTGCCCACCACCGCACCCAGCACGTGCCCTGCACCCTCGCCAGATCCACCCAGATGCTGGCTCCCGGCCCCTGCACGTCGGCCAGGACCATGGGTGCCCTCCTTCCCAGGGGCCCCCTGCACCCTGGGGCCATCGGGCACAGACCCCTTTTGCTCTGTCTGACCGTTCCCTCAGGGGCAGGGGTTAATGCCTGACCCTAAAATGAGTGTGTCTGCCCCATCTGAGCCTCACATCTGGGGTCTCCTCGCCCAAGGCCAGGGGGTCCTGGGCCTGCAGGACAGCAAAGAGGCTGAGGCCGATGGTCAGGAACAGGGTCTTCATCTCCAGGGGTCTGTGCCCACGGTCACTGGCTGGGGCTTGGAGAGGCTGTGCTGGGCTCTCACACAGCCGCCCTTTATATCCCTTGGCCCAGGGTCCCTCAGGAACTTGGCACAAACAATTGACCAATCCCTTCCCGGCTTAAACCGTGGCCAATTCTGCAGTGGAGCAGACAAAATGTCATCATTGTTGGATGCTATTGAACAGCTCTCCTTAACCACCAAAGACCACTGAGGCCGTGCCGCTGTCTAGAGGGGCAGATTAGCAAATGTTATCAGCTGGGAAGTGAGTCTGAGTGCAGGGACCGGAGGCCTCCCATGAGGGGGGTGACAGAGGGGATGTGAGCAGTGCCAGTGGACACCCTCCCGCTCGTCCCCAAGGGCTGGGCTGACATGCTCGCTGCCAGAGAATGTGCGGGTTGGACCTTAGAGCCACGGGCTTGGGTCTCAGCTGACCTTCCTGGGTCCATATGCAGGCTCCTTCACCTCAGATTCGGCGTCAAAAAAGAGGGACCTACTGTGTGAATGTGACGATGTGTGTGTTTAAAGAAGATGTCTACACTCCTGACAAGATGTGCAAGAAGTAGGCACTTTGACACACTCTCTCTGCTCCATATACAGAGTAGTGACAGACAAGATATAAAGAGGGCAAACCAAGACAGATGGATGGAAATGTGAACATATGGATATGTACACACAGACACACACACACATACAGACACACATGCATACACACACACACACACACACACACATCAGATCAGGAAGGAACAGCAGCACAGACTGGTGAGTGGGGGCTGCAGCCCTGCCCCAGGCAGGTGAGAGGATGTGATGTCGCCTCCAAAGCAGACCAGAGACAAGCCATCCTCCTATCAGCAACTTCCTCTGTGACTCCCCCCATCAGGCAACAGAACAGACGCCTGGGGCCGGGGGTGGGAGGCTGAGGCTACTGCAAAACTGCTGGACAGAGCACGACAACGACAAGGTGACAGAGAGAGGCAAGCGTGTGTGGATTCAACATCCTCACCTGAGAGGGAGCCGCTTCCCCAACGCTCCCAATCACCCACAAAAACACCAGGTGAAGAAAAACAGGTTAAAGATGAGCCATCAGGATAGGAACTTATTCCAGAAAATGAAAAGTGTGACAAACACTCTAGAAGTGCAGTAGTGTGATGAAGATGCCTGAAGATTAAACAGAACACGAATTTATAAAATTAGAACTGGCCAGAGCGTAAACAATGAGTAGACATGAAATAGGAATAATTATGAACATTGAAGGGGAACACGGTAGTAAATAAAAAGCTCAAAAACCAATAAAAATAAACTGTAAACGTGAAACTGGCTCTTTGGGGAAAATGGAGTAAATAGATCAACTCCTAGCGAGACTGCTGCGAACATCAGAAAAGGACAACTGACGAGCATCGGGAGTGACGAGGTGATGTGAACTAAGACAGACGAGAGAGAGGCAGGGCGACTGTGCAGGTGCGCGGATGGTGGGCGGGCCCGCAGGGGTCAGCATCCTAGAGCCGGGTGGGGGTGAGGTGCGGATGCAGGGCGACACTGACTGCTCATGAGAGGAGAAGAGATGCCCAGAAACAGCCCTGCGAGGAACCGGGAGAGCAGATGCACAGCACACCTGGCAAGAACTTTCGTGAGGAAAACTTTCAGTAAATGGAACTGGGTATCCATATGGAAAAGATATATAAACCCATCTCCCTACCTCACACCGCACACAATTAATCCAGCTAGATTTAAAGGCTTAAGTATGAAAAGCAAACCTTTAAAACCTGTAAGAGGAAATAAGGGTTGATACCATTGTGGCCTAGAGGCAGGTCCTACGGTTATGAGGGAAATGTTGGAGACACCACAGAGGTCAAAGGGCAGACTGGAGGCAGATGTCTGCAATGGGTGTGACTGCAAAGCTTCCAGATGCAGAGTACACGAAAGAATGAATTAGGAAGTGACAGCTGGAGAGGAAACGGGAGGGCAGTCACAGAAGAGGGAGCGGGGGCAGTGAGGATGCTAAGGGATGCTCAGTGTCACTGCCAATTGAAGCCAAGCAGAGACACCATCTCAGAGCTCCTTCTGACAATGGGTGTCGCTTGGATGAGGCTCACGGGAATTCTCACCCCCTCCAGCTGGGTGTGAACTGGTGCCCCACATGACAGCAACGGCAATCGCCAGCAATGTCTCAGACACACATGCCCTGGATCCAGAGGTTCTGCTGTCTCCTACAGACCCTAGAACGTTCCTGCGTGGGCCCCTTCCACGCACGAGCAAGGTGCTCCCAGGGTCACAAGATTTTGTAAATTTGCGAAGCTGTCTCTCTCCATGGTGTTGGAGGGGCCGGAGGTTGGTCTGAGTTCAGTGGGACGTGTTGAAGGTAACAGTCACTTTAGTGTACAGCTGGCTTCCTGAGGTTGTCTTGGTTTTCAGGAATATTCCTACCGCTGCTCTAGGCCGACAGGCCTGGTGTCCTGACCCAGCGATGTCGGCTTCAGGTCACAACGTTGAAGGTACGTGAATGGGCGGTGAAGGAGACGCCAGCTTCATTCTGCATGAAGCCCGAGGAGGGTCTGCGTTCAGTTCTTCCACGCCCCCAACGTGGACAATTGTGAGCGGGGTTCAGTTCTCATCCAAGTCCGGTCTAAACTCAAGCTCTCTCAGTCCCAAACTGCTTGATGATGCAACGTGTGTAAAGGCACCACACACTTTTAAGCTGTCTAGATGGTAACCACACAAAGCAGAATTGATCAGAATTCTTGTTTACGGACCAAAAACCTACAGCAGAACCACATTAAGCAGACACATCTATGTCGGAAGTGACGTGTCTTATGCGTCCCAACCATCAATAATAAAAAATGGATTTTGATCCGCATGCTGGGCAAAGTCTGAATTATCTGTACAGGAAAGAGTAGAAGGTCAGTCTCACGGGAAGCGGTAATCAGGAGCAGCGGCTGACACAGGAGCACGAGGTTTACAGAGGTGGGCCGGGTGGTCACGAATCAGAGCCCCTGGTGGTTCCTGGATTTGGTGGAGTTTATGGTGCTTCTCAGCTTTTTTTAATATGTGAGTTTTGTGGGGTTTTTTCCTCACTCCAAATAAATACTTATTCTCATATCTAATTTGGATTCATGATTTTTATCATTTTTGCTCTAAACCAGTCTGTGCCCGTCTGTCCCCGTGGAGCCTCCTTGTCTCCTGACTGGCCCCAGAGGCTCCACAAGTTGACCCCGCGACCCCCGCCTGCCTGAGTGGGGCGTGATCTTCCATCTCCCTCCCCTGCCTCCGTCCAGCCTCTGCTGTCGTCCTGCAAAGCCCAGAACAGCCGCCACCTCCTGGGAAGAAGGGCCTGACTGCCCGGCCTACAGGGGCCAGCTGCACCGTCCCTGCCTGTCCCGTGTCACAGTCGATGGTGCGTGTCCTGAAGGACCCTCGTCACTCGACGGTTCAGATCCTGGCCTCTCCCCACTGGCCTCACTCGCTCCCTCAGGGCTGGGCTCCCGGAGGCTCCTTGAGCTTACCCCAGCTGAGTGGAATCCAGTTACCATGAGCTGATCTGCACTTGACCACAGAGCCCCGGGGTGTGGCCGGGAAGCCAGCACCCTGTGTTTGCCAAGGGGCTGCTTTCAGGAAAGGCCGTGCTGTTTGTGTTCCAGCTCTTTCTTCTCCTTGAGCTCCTCGGTTTATCTGAACACAGGACCCCTTTGTACCACCAGTTTATTCCGTACCACGGTGAATGTCACACAGACAGGAACATGCCTGGAGGCCACCCAGACCCGTGTCCTCCCTCCTCAGCTGCCAGGCTGATGCCAGTAGACGTGGCCTCCAGGGGAGGCTCTGTCAACCTTCCCCTCCTGCCCCCCCAGCGCAGAGAGCTCCTCACGCTCTCATCACAGAAGGTGATCCCGGGAGTGGGGCTTCTGAAGGCAGGCCTCCCCAGTGGTTGCTGCTGGGAGCCACGTCAGGGTCCTGGCAGGACGGCCTTGGCCAGCACGGGCTCCATCAGCCAGCGGGAGTGGAGGGGACTCACGTGAACATGCTGAGGTCTTAGCCAGGCTCATTCCTGGGGGACTGGACCCCTCACACTGCAGGTGGGACGGGGCCTGAGAGGACCCCTCACTGCAGCTGAGAGCTTGAGGGTCAGCCCAGTAACTGCCCCCAAACTGTACTACATGGTGACACTCTGTGCACTTCCCCTGACGAGCAGGGAGTCAGGACAAAGAGAAGCAGCAGAGAGGGAGGAGTCACAGCCAGAGCCCCAGAGAAGGCGCAGCGTGAAACTGCCCAGCTCGCCTCGTGGAAGCTCGGGCCCCCCGCCAGCAAGCCCCTCTCTGGGGCTGGCTCGACACAAACGTTTTGTGATTGGGAAAGTCCTTTTTGGTGAAAGGCTCAGAGAGGCAGATAAAGATTTATGAATAAAACCATTTATGCCAGTCTTATAATCGTGAAAATTAAAAACGAACTAAATGCGCAAGATATGGGAAACGATAAGTAAATAATGAGGTAGCCATAGGGTCCAGGTTTTGCAGCATTCTTTGGAGATCTTTTGCCATAATTTATCAATTTTGAAAAAAACAATTATTTTCAATACGCATCATACAGATGCGTATGAAGATAGATTTAACAGTTTAATTGTACAGTGGTCTGCTCTCATCTGCCATCAGAAGCACGTTCAGAAGCACACAGAGGAAGAAGCGATGTTCCCATCCCACCACTCACGATTCAGTGCACACAGCCCGCCTCCCCGTGGCTAACCAGGGCTAACACCTTCCGGAATTTTCCACCTCCCATGTGCATGATGTCCTAAAAGTAGCCCTCTGTTTTGTCACTAACATGACTTTGACGTATGCCACGTGAAAAACACACCATCCCTCACTTGCAAACACTGAACGTCTTTGTACACAGGTTTTGAGCAGAAGCAGGATGAATCTTATAAATGGCCGAAAGTGGAATTCCTGGACCAAACGGCAGGCACGTGTTGAATGTTAATAGGTGTCCGAAGCTCTATAAAAGCTCTGTCT